GAATATTGAATGCAGACAGTTTGAAAGGTCTTTTTCTCCAGGTGCTTCCTTTCCCCTACCCAAGAAATTAATTTGAATAAGCCCCTTTCCTTTGATAATGTTGTTCATTGAGCTATGTAAATCTCTCTGTCATGCAAAGAAGAATTGTCAGAAAAATAATTTACATAGGAAGGTAGTTAAAGGATGACTACAATTTATTTTCTTACCTGCTTTTAAGTCATTTGTTTCTAACTAACTAAAACTTTAATGGGGAATAGATCTTGAATACTAGAAATTGTAAATCTAGGTTTAATTGGGCCCCAAAATTAAGGTTTGTGGATTATGTTCAATTTGAATCTGAAGAACTGTCTGGCTTCTTGTCCACTGGAGTTTTAAGTGTTAGGTCATGGAAAAGAGAAAAGTTTCTTTGAATCAAGGACCAGCCAAAGAGTAAATAGGATTTGATTAGAGAACCTAATTGGATACTTAAGAGTTTTACAAATTAAAGTGGCAGAAATAAATTTAGAAATAACTTTTGAATTCATGTGTGTTTGAACTTAGAAATTTTCCTGTAATTTATATGTAACCCCTACCCATTTTTTAAAATAATGGATTATGCATTCAAATCTTTGAGAACTGCTCTGTTTACTGTATGCACACACACAAAAGTTTATTTAAGAAAGCTAACTAAAAGGTAATTAAGTGCCTCTAAGTCTACCCCAATACTGAAATACTTATAAGTCTCCCTGGTTTTAGACACACACACACACACACACACACACACACACACACACACACACACGTACATTTCTGATTATTACTATTACAATTAATTTCTAATTAAAATGTAAACCAGATGCTGCTAAAAGCATATTGTACTTTTAATTAGATAAGATGGCTAATGAGATTAACTTTTGCCACTGCTCTATGCACCAATGCCAAATGATTTAAAGGCCATCAAGACATTTCAATCAGCCTAGTAATGCTGCCTCATTGTTATTGCTGACAACATGGATCAGTAAGTTCTTCATTAAGTGCCCTGCAATAATTTAAAATCAAGTACATGTAAGGTACTGTGTTAGTCTATGGGGTTCAATCTTTCATATGTATGTATGTATGTATGCATGTGTATATGTATAATGATATGCATGTATATATGCATATGTATATATACATACATATACATGTACATTTATGCATACATATCCATATGCACACATATACATATACACTATATATGTGTGTATGTGTATATATGTCTCTGTGTATGTGTGTGTGTGTATATATATATATGCACTATTCTACAAGTCAGATTCTTATAGGTTCTTTTAGATTCTCCCTTCAGTCTGTTGGAAATGTCCAGGCTGTGTACGAGGGGAGATATCCAGAAGAACAGATGACTACAGTAGGAGATATTTCTTGGAAACTAGACAGCTGCATGAAATGTCTGAGCCCTAAGATATAATGGACTGATGAAATGAACAATGGGAGTGGGTTACCTTTCCCCTTCCTGTGAGCCACTGTTCTTTGTAAGGCCAATTTGCCCAAAGGGTCTGCCCCCAGTGGCTCCTGTCAATGCACTGGTCAATTTCTTTTCCTCTTCCCCTTGTACTATTCCCATCCCTCATAGTTCTGTTTCTTCTTTGGGGGTGTATTAAGTGTTGCCTATGTGTTCCTTCTTGTACTGGGGGTCTGTGTTACTGATACTGTCATGGTCCAGCAACTCATCAAACTCTTAAATTCTCCTTTGGTCAGCAATAGAATTTGTCTTGTCTAAGGGGGATAATGTTGAATACAGCTGTTGACCTTGTCTGATCCTTGAGCTATGAATTTCCTTAGGACTATCAAAACCAGTGAAATAAAAAAGAATGTTGAATACAGACATCAGAAGGGGCTACCTGACCTTCATCCCAACTGATCCCATGATGGGAGCAGGTCCAAATCAGTTTCTCTGTTGCTCCTGAGCCTGAGCCTGCTGTTCTGACCAGATGTCAGCTCTCCCTCCAGACTACCTCATCCTTCTTTTTGGACTTTTGGTTGTTATGTACAACAACTTACATAACAACTTCTCAAGGCTGTGCCTCCCATGAGATTCCCTCACTGTTGAAATGTATTCAACCCTATCTCGTCTGTGCCTCTCTTGGACACTCTGGCATCCTAGTGTTACATGGTTGCCACAAATTGCAATTTCCTTGCCTTGCTTAAAAGATGTTAATTTTTTGCTGTTTTGGCAGTCTTCTTTATTTCATGTTGACAGTTATATATCCCTAGTTTGAACTATTTGTAAATAATGTTTTCATGAAAACATTCAGAACTCAGTGGCTAAACAGTTTTTTTTCCATAATCCTGAAACCATGTTACACATAATTCTCATTGATTTACACATAACTCAACCACCATCATTTGGAGGGAGGTGGGGCTGATTGTTTGATATTCAAAAAACTTTTGGAGTTTTAATAAACCATTGTGAATCTTTTCTTGAAAACATTCTCAAAATATTAGGACTTAAACAAGGAAAAAAATTGCTTGGGTTGATTATAAAAAGGCTTATGTTAGCTGAAGTGATCACTAACCTCTCATAACAAGTTTCTTAGTATCCTATGTGTGGGAGAAGAAAGGGTGAGACAGGGCCAGAAGTCTCCCTATATGAGCAGTAGCACCCAAGAGTGAATATAATGGAATGGAGGTTAGAAGCAAGCTGATCTGAGCTGGGAAAGAAAAGGGTAAAACAAAATGGATAGGTAGGGGAAAAAAAGGTGGGAAAGGGTGGGGGTAAGATAGAGTGAAAAGAATAATAAATAATAATAATAACATTAAACTCAAGGTAGTAAGTAGCAGAACCTTAATGAGAATACAGATCTTCAGACTCCAAGTCTAATGTTTTCTTTTTTCCATGTTGCCTGAGAAAAGAGCATACATACAAGATAACAAATCCATATTTGCATGGTTTCTTTCCTTGTGATCCTTGTCTTTCGCCGACTATCATCATAGAAGTTAAAAGTGTTGATTTTTACAATAAATCATACTATGCTGGGAAAATGGGAAAAGAAATATCAGAACTGTCTGACTACCCTCCTCTGGATAGTGGGTCTCCAACTAATCACATTGTTAACTCACATTTGGGCTTCAGGACACTAACCCCCTCCCCAAGTCTTTTTTTAGCCAAACTAGATTCTATTAATGCCTTCTCCACAAAAGTGTACTTATGAAGTCAATTATTTGAACCCAAGAATAAGACATTTATCCTCATTCAAATTCATCTTACTAGATTCAGCCCATCACAGTATTTTGGTATCATGATCTTGTTATCCAAAGTATTAGCTATCTTCGTGTTATCTGTCAGTCTGATAAGACTTTATCTAAGTCATTAAAAAAAAAATTGGACAGGATTGGGCCAACCAAAGATCCCTGGAATACTTTATGAAAGATGTCCTTCAAAACTGACACCAAGCCATTAATAACTGTTCTTTGGGCCTTGCTGTTTAACCAACTCCAAACCCATGTATTTCTATTATTATCTAGCCCACATCTCTCTCAACTAGGCAGGCTATACATAAAGGTGAGGTCAAAATTACCCCCATTTGGCTCTGGCACCTAAGTGCAAACACTTTTTTTTTTAAAGATTGAATCAAATAATAAAAATTCAGCATAAACAGAACCTTGTATATCTTAAATAAGTGCAAAAAATGACAAAGTAACCAGAACATTTGTTCTTTGACTTCATTGCTTGCTTGGAAAATAGCCATATCTGAATGGATTTAGAGTTGGTAGGCATCTTAGAGATTTTCTGCTCCAACCACTTTATTTTACCTGATAGGAAAATGAGACCCAGACATAGTAGTAATGGTAATAGCAGCAGCAATAGTGGTAGTAATAGTAATAGAATTTATATAGCATTTTAAGGTGAGCAAAAAGCTTTACACAGATTAGCTCATTTGTGCTTCACAACAATTCTTGAGCTCTCTCTCAATCCTTGAATCAATTAGCACCACTGTGTGAGAAACCGAGTAACACTCTGAACACTTATTGGGGGAAGAAGAAATTCGAGTGTCTGGATTTGAGAGGTTGGGGCAAAGGAAGGACTGAACTATGTCAAATAAAGAAACCATTGAGGAGTGGCTCTGTGGGCATGATGGAGAGGAAGATTCAAGCTGAGAAAGTCCCAGGAAAAGGTTGAACATTTCCCCAATTTCATCTCTTGGTGCCTCTCTATCTCCATCTATAATATAATAGCTGTTTTCATTACCAAATATTTTAAGTAAACTAAATTTTGCTGAATGACCAAGAGACTTGGGCATAACTAGAAATAGATGTAAATGTAAGGTTAGGCGAAGAATTCAACCTCTGCTAGGTGTTACCTGGATGATTAGAATGACTGAATTCAATTTTTTTTCATCTAAAATAAATTCTCTAAAGCCAAAGAGAAGGAAACCAAGCAGACCCTAAGAACTATTATACTACTCCCTAGGCTTAAAATGAATTTATTTTTGAAAGTGTTTTTAAAAAAATATCTATAGCATTCTCCTGATTTACCAACCTAGTAACCCTGTCCAAAAGGAAAAGCAATTACTCTGGCATGATCTATACTTCATAAAGTTATGTTATTTTCCTTTCCTACATGTTCACACCCATTCCTTTAATAGAACAGAATGTTTTAGAACCTTTCCAGAAACAAAGGCAGTTTCACTGGCTTATAGTCTGTAGACTCCATTATCACTCTTCCTTTCTTAGAAAATCAGGATATTTGCTCTCCTCCATGCTTTTGTGGCAACTTTTCCCTTCTCCACAATCTTTTAGAGATCACTCGACAATGATTTTTCTAGAGATCTGCTGAAGTTAACATAAAGACAAATCACATCTTTAGTGGGAAAAAAACAAATATTCCTTGAACTCCCTTAGTGAATTGCTTCATCAGATTAAATGGTACCTTTTAAAGGCAGCATGTCTACCACATAAAGTAATCCCCGTGAAGTGGCTGCTGAAATGTAAGCCCCAAACATAGCCCAAAAATGAAGTCAGAGACCATTTAAAAATGTTTTTATTATGAAGAATTGAAAACCATTTTCCATTTTCAAACCCAGATAAATAAACAGTAAATATCAGGCTTTTGTTTTGTTTTGTTTTTTTTCAGTGAGTTGGAGAATGCTGTTTCTTATTCAATGCTTGGACACACACACACACACACACATACACACACACACACACACTTTAGGGAAACAGAGGAAGAAAACCCATTAGGCTTTTCTCCACTCCCATCCTATTTCACAAAAATGAAGACAATCAGGAATTTCTAGAAAGTGAAATGGAAATATAGCATAACAGAACCACCAAACATAGAAAAGCTAAGTAATGTAATCTGCAAAACCCAACTAATCAAAGCCATTGGACAGAATGATTTTGAAGCTGCCCCTTCTTACATTAATATAATACATTACATTATAATGTAATTATATGTAATGTAATGTAATACATTAATATAAAATCTGTCTTTCTTTGAGAAATACTGACTCAGTTGCTATACAAAACCAGGGGTATCACTTATGAAATGAAAAAAAAGTTTCCTTTCAGAATGATGCAGCTTTGTTTCTTCTGAGTGGAAAAAATCTGCTAAGGCAAAATGAGTCACTGAGCATAATTCCATCGCCTCAAAGTCAAAACTAGATCATTTGGGGTCCTTTGAGAAAAACAACGTATCAATTTTGAAAGGAAAAGCTCCCTACCACACATTCATTTTTCTTGATTCATACAAGTACGAATTTGGATGAAAGTAACTTCAACATGGGAGATCTCACAGGAATATTTTAACCAAAAAGTTTTATTTGCAGTAGTAATTATAGTCTTTGGGTTGATTAGCTGGGTGACTTTTTCTGACAAATGTACCACTTCCTTCAAGAACATATTCTATTCCCATTCACACCCATATATGTTGATATGTGTTTATCTATCACCATCCTATCCCTATGTCAATGTGTGTGGATATATATCTTTCTATCCCCCTTTCACTCCTTTATATAGATGTGTGTTTGTGAGTATATGACATATGAAGATTCTTTTCACAAAACAATGCTTTTCAATATGTCAGAGATGGCTTTGCATGGCAGAGACATTACTTAAAAACCAAATGTGGATTCACTGCATCTTCTTAAGGACAGCTTTTGCAGATAGTGTTTATTTTAATTAATTAACCTTAAAGTGGCATGTCCAAGTTAAGTGTTCAGCACTTTTTACCATGAATATAAACATACTATATATACAGTTCATTACAATATTTATTCTTTTATTTGTCTGAGACTAAAAAGTGGTCTTTTTATAGAAAGGTGGACTTTGTAAACCTGTTTCAGTTAATGCAAAACTTTCATCTGCAGTAAAGCACTGGAGATGAGGAAAATGTTTTAACATAATGAAGTAACACTTTTAAGTGTGCACATGCAAAAAAGTACCATAAAATGAGATGCTCCAGTTAAACTATGTTTAATACACACACGAATGCTGCTTTTCCATATACTGCCAAATGAAAGAGAGTACATGTCATCATTAGATTTGCAAAATGACAGTTCTCCATGGTAAAGTTCACATTCTTTCAACTTTCCTCAGGCTTTTCCAATAAAACATTCAGTCTGCTTTTAATATGGACAAAAGCTTCAGCACTAGAGAGAGGAAAAAAAACCCCAGGAAAACAAGTTTGCTTCTCACGTCATCAATCCTAGTTGGAGGATCATGCCAATGATCTGTGGGCTTTGCCCTAAAAGCAGAAAGCAACTGAGGATTTTCCACCTACTACTGTTAACATTGTTTATTTACTATGATTTATTGTGTTTCCCCAGGTGAAGCAAATTTAACATTTGAAGATGTTTTAACTAAGAATAACTATTAAGTATGATATGTGATTCTGGCTGCAGAAACCCATCCATCTACATTGAATCCATTCAGGAAACAAAGATCTGAATGTTCCTCCTGGACATTCATTTAAGCTGTGCAAGAACCAAAGCCTTCTTTGTCATACTTTGCATAGATGCAATGCCATTTCACGGATGAAATACATTTATTTTCCCCCTAATGGATAACGGTGAGTTGATTTTTGTCCTTCAGTTCTGAAGTCAATACTCTCCTTTTTAATTGGCCTTTTTCCAGTGAAAGTAAATGCATTGGCCATCTGGTCCTCATTGTTCCAAGGTGAGCTCCAGGTGTAGCAGATGAAACCCAGCAAGTGAACTCTTTTCTTTCTTTCCTCAAGTGGAATGGTGAAGCATATTCCATTTAGCCCAAAAATCTAGGCTCAGCAGCCCAAGGGGAGACTTTGGTGAGTTTGATCAGGCCTTGAAGCTGAAGGAGAGAAACAACTGGGCTTCTGCATCACTACTACACAGGCAGAGGGAAGTTGAGACTGTTTGCTTCTGGTTGTTGGCACAAGAAGTTTGTCTTCTGGTAGTAGCTCAGCTCTATGTATCTGTTGGTTGACATCTAATGGCTTCTGATGGGGTACTTTCAGAAGTCAGAGGGTCGGATCATCATTGTTGTGGACCGTAAGGAATAGCTGGGGCCTTTGAAGTAATGCCACTTGATCCCATTCAGCTTTCCATGGTTCTGCCCAGCCATATAGAACATCCCATTGAGATTGGATGGGCCACAGGCATCAAACCACCAACCTGAAAAAAGCAACCCAGATTGGGGAAGTAAGTGAGGAAAAAAATCACAAAGCAAATAGAACTCAAATACTTGTGATTCCAAGCCCAAAACTATATTTCAATGGAATTCATTCTCTTTGTAATCTTATGTGTTTTAAAACATTATTCTGAGAAGCCTGTAGTTTTACCAGATGCCAGAGGGGTTCATGACACAGTAAAGATTAAGGATCCCCAAACCAGTCCAATACCTTTATTTTATCAATAAGGAAAATGGGACCCATAATGGTGAAGTGACTTGTCCAATGTCCAAAGTGCAGAATTATAGGACCACAGGCTTAAAGTTGAAAGGAAATTTTGAGATCATGTAGTTCAACTCCCTCATTTTAAGGATAAGAAGACTGAGGCCCAGAGCCATGAAATAACTTGCCAAAGATCATTTCTATAAATAAGTAGCAAGGCCAGGATTAAAATCTAGGTCTTTCTAATATTAAATCTAGGACAATTTATACTTAACACAAGCACCTTTTGGCATCAAGAACTCTTTAAATGTAGCATGTAGGGCACTTATTGAACATTTTTTTTTGGTCAGGCAAATTGCAGATTCACCCAGCCCAAACCTTCAAAGCACTATTCCCACATTACAGGCAAGACACTATGTTAGGCACTGGATAAACAAAAGAAAAAAAGAGTTGTCCTTGCCCTTAAGAAATTACATTCTGCTGGAAGAAGGGGCTTGCCACATAAACAGTTAAGTATACACTAACAATTTGTAATCAATATAAATATAAAAATGACAATCAGAGAGTGAGCAACATACATAAAATATTTGCTTTTCTGATTTAGAATCATAAAATTTCAGAGTTATAAAAGAAAGACCCTGGAGGCTATCTAATCCAACTTATCCTGGAACAGGAGTCTCCTCCCTTTACAACATTCTCAAGGACTAGTTATCCAATATTCATTTAAGTACCCAGTGAAGAGGAACCCATAGCCTCCACAAACAGCCCATTCCATTGACAGGAATGTAAATAACACTAGTAACTCTGAAAAGTTTCAGCAGTCAAGATGCAGTAAATTAATGAGGGCTGAACATCTAAGCAGGCACAGTAGGTCTAGATAGTATGATTTAGTATATACAGAGACCCTCAAAAAAGTTTCATTTTGTTTTCAATGCTTAAATATTCAATGTTTCAAAATTCTGGTAATGTAATGTAAACCCAATTTCATAGAATGTTGTAATTGTTAATACCATGGTTGGGACATTTTGCCAGAATATGAATAGGGTGAAGAATAGGTGCTAGGAGATCGGGAAGAAAAATGAGGAAAGGGAAGACTTTGACTGGGGAGGGAGGAGAACACTAAAGACACAAATCTCCTTTAGCCCCTTAACTGCAGCCTTCATTTTCTGCTCCTTCATTACAGGATATGATGAAGAGATGACAATGCACCTTTTCAAGGTCCATTCTTCTACATATACATTTGATCCCACCCCCTTCCTTCTTACCTAGAAGACCTACACTATAATCATCTCCTCTTTCTGTCTCTCTAATCTTGAATATTTCCTTTGTAATTGCTTCTTCCCTACTACCTAAAAACTTATCCAAATCTCTCCCATTATTTTTTTTAAGGCAATTGGGGTTAAGTGGCTTGCCCAGGGTCACACAGGTAGTGTCAAGTGTTTAGTCTGAGGTCGGATTTGAACTCAGGTCCTCCTGACGTCAGGGCCAGTGTTCTATTCACTGCGCCACCTAGCAGCCCCAAGAAAAGAGCAACCAACCAGGCTGGGAGAAAAGAAAAACCCACCCTAGAAACCCACTGAAAGCCAGCTGCCTCCTGGTGTTGTCCTTTCTCTCTTCAGGGCTCTCTTTCACTCAGGAGTCTCTCTCTTCTCTCTCTCTCTCTCTCTCTCTCTCTCTCTCTCTCTCTCTCTCTCTCTCGGGAGAGCAAATCTCTCCCATTCTGAAAAAAATTCTTCACTAGCTCCTAACATCCTCTTAAGCTATTATCCTGTATTTCTCAACACTTTCACAATCAAACTCACAAAAAATAGCTCTCTATAACTAATGCCTTTAGTTCTTCTTTTAGTCACTTCTCTAACCCTTTGGAACCTGGCATCTGACCTCATCACTCCACTGAAACCGTTCTTTCCAATGTCACCAATAATTTCTTAATCACAAAATCTGATGACTTTTTCTTAATTCTCATCCTCCACTCATCTCCAGCATTTGAACTATTAACCTTCCCTCCTAATCAATATTCTCTTTTATCTCATCTGTAACACTGCTGTCCCATGGTTTTCCTCCTACCAGTGAGGCCATTCCTAAAGTCTTTTTTTTTGGTTTACTACCCGTGGTAGACTCCCTAATTGTGGGTGTACCCGAAGGCTATGACCTTTTATTATCTTTCTATGTTCTCTCACTTGTTGACTTCATCTGTTCTCAACAGTAAAATGATCATCTATGTGCAGATGACTATCAACTCTATATATCCCACTGTAATCTAGCCCCTGAGCTACAGTCTTGCATCCTCAACTTCCTATTGAATGCTTCACACTGATATCTTCTACAAATCCCAAACTGTCTATTCAAAACTGAACTCATTTTCCCCCATCACATCCACATCCCCCACCCCAATTTCCATATTTTTATCTAGGAGATCATCATTCTTCCAATTACCCAGGTTTACAAATTGGCTGTTATTTTTGACTCCAGTCATTACCAAATCTTGTTATTTCTCTTGCCAAAACATCTCTCATAACTGTTACCATCTCTCTACTGAAATGGTTACCATTTTGGCTCCCAAACACTTTTTAACTAGACTGAGCTGGCAGATGGCACAGTGGATAGACCACTGGGCTTGGAATCAGGAAGACTCATCTTTCTGAGTTCAGATTTGGCCTCAGACACTTGCTAGCTGTGTTACCCTGGGCAAGTCATGTAACCCTGTTTGCCTCAGTTCCTCATCTATAAAAATGAACTGGAGTAGGAAATGGCAAACTGGTCCTGTCTCTGCCAAGAAAACCCCTACATGGGGTCATAAAGAGTTGGAACACAAACAACTGAAACAACTAAAGAACAACAAAAAAAATTGGTATCCCTGCCTCATATCTCTGCATTCTCCAATCCATTCTCCACACAGTTGCTAAAGTGACTATGCTAAAGTGCAAGTCTTCCCATGTCACTGCACTGGAAACAATAAATATCACTGGTTCCTCATTGTCTCTAGGTTCAAATATAAGCTTCTTTTATTGACTTTTGAGTCATTTCCTACCAAGCCCCCAAACTACCTTTCCAACCTCATTATAAATTATTCCCCTTTTGCTTTTTATGGTCCAGCCAAACTGGTATTCTTACTATTCTGTGTACACAACATTTCATCTTCCATTTCTGCACCTTTGTACAAGCTTACCCCTGTGCCTGGAATATACTCCCTGCCCCTTACTTATGCATTTTAGAATCACTAGTTTTCTTAAAAGTTCCAATATGAAGTCTTCTCTTATCCCTCATCTGCTACTGTTTTTATGTTCCCTCTTTGAATTTGCCTTATATTCATTCCCATATACTTTATGTGCATGGTGTCTTCCCAACAGAATGTAAGGTCATTGAGAGCAAGAACTATTTCATTTCTGTCTTTGTATTCCTCAATGCCTGACACAGCAAATGAATGCTTAATCAATATTTCCTTGATTCTAAATTTTGTCTGGCTCTGAGCTGCTAATACTGAAATACCTCATGTATGCCAGTACTCATGCATAACCAATAGAAATGCAAACTTATAAAGAACTGAATCTGTCACCTGTCTTCAAGTACTTGAAGTGCTATTTTGTAGGAGAGTGATAAGACTGGGTTTGGCTTCACAAGTCAGAACTAGATGTGATGGGTAAAAGTTATTAAAGGCAAATTTAGACTTGATGTCAAGAAAATCTTATAAACAATTTGAGTTGATTCAAGGTGAAATGGACTGCCTTGGACAGTAATGAATTTCTCTTCATCAGATGTCTTCAAGAAGTATTTCTTGTCAGATGTGTTACAGTAGATATAGTATGAGTTGAACTGGATGGTCTCTGAAATAGTGTCTAACTCTTAACTTCCATGATTATCTTACAGATTAGATAAACTCCTTAAACTATACTAGGAACTTAATAAATTATTGTTCATTTATTGATTGATTCTATCACTGGTTGTTTTGAAGGATAGTATATTTCCATAATGCTTTCAGACATAAAAATCACTTTTCTCACATCTACCTTGTGCAGTAGGTAAAATACACAGATCAATCAATCTGCCTAACATCTCTGTCATTTATCCATCATCATCTCTATTATTTATCATCTCTCTCTACTTGTCCATCTATTTTTCTATCTCTTTCATCTCACTATCATCTCTCTCACTCTAACATTTACCTATCTATCTACCTATTTATCTTCTCTTTTCCTCTCTTTTTCCCTTTCGCTGTCTCTCTCTTCCTCTGTCTTTCTCTCTCTTTCACTCCTCCATTTCATAGATGAGGAAACTAAGCATCATATAGATTCCAAATCACAGATAGAACCAGTGAGAGCCAGGGTCTGGACTCACATCTCCAGATTCTAGGTTCAATACTGTATATTACAACATATTGACTTTAAAATAAGTTTTTAGATTACAAAATAGATTCTTAGTTTTTTTCCCCCCAAATCCACTCAGTGTGCTTTTTTTCCATCTAAAAGTAACACTAATGAAATCTTTAGGGAAAGATTAATGCCAGATACATTTTGGCATATTTCTATTTTGATACAGCTGACCTCCCTTTGATTGCAGTTATACCAAAGGGAATAATAGCAAAGAAAAAGAAAGCCATACAGCTGATGTTTTCTGTAACATGAGCATAATCTTGTAGCAACTTTAGGGAAAAAAAGCTAACTAGAGAAAACGTAGTCCCCATTTTTCAAAGTGGGAACATGGAAGCAGCTGGGTTGTGTTTATAGACTCAAAATACAGAGTCAGTGAGCTGTATTCATCACTGCTTCTTCCTGGAGCAGAGAA